ATTACGCTACACTACACTCCACAACACTACAACTACAACTACACAACTACACCCCACTACACTACAACTACACAACTACACTCCACTACACTCCATTGCACTCCACTACACTACACTACATTACACTACACTCCACTACACTACACTACATTACACTACACTACCTTCCACTACACTTCACTACATCACACTACACTACACTCCACTACATTACAACTACAACTACGACTACACAACTACACTCCACTACGCTAAATTACACTACACTACACTACATTACACTACACACAGTGCATTCCACTACACCCCACTACACTACACTACATTACACTGAATGACACTGCACCACAGATAGACAGATAGATAGATAGATAGATAGATAGATAGACAGATAGACAGATGAAAGAGAGAGAGAGAGAGATAGATAGATAGATAGATAGATCGATGGATGGATGGATAGATAGATAGATAGAAAGCTAGGCAATTAGATGAAAGAGAGAGAGAGAGATAGATAGATAGATCGATAGATAGACAGATACATAGATAGGTAGGTAGGTGGGTAGATAGTCAGAGAAAGAGAGAGAAAGAGAGGAGACCTCAAGCACCTTTCGGTCCATCAGTGGCTTCGCTCTGCCATCCCTGAATCACAACAACCAACCTCTCCTATAGGTTTCCTATTTTTGAAACTTCCGCCACCTCCTTGTGCGGTACTACTGGAATATTATCTTCTATTTGAAAAGTGTTTTCAATACTCCTGGAATATCTTCTATTTAAAAAATCAATAGCATTTCAAATTATCTTCTGTTTGAAAAGGGGTTTGAATCACCATCCCCCAATCAAAAAGGCTAAAAAAACCAGTGTTTTTTAACAATTTTTCACCGACCCCCCCCCCGAAGGCGGGAGTGCAAAAGTACCTCCGGCCGGGTCCCGCTCCGGGAGGTACTTTTGCACTCCCCTCTTCGGGGGGGTCACCCGGGTCCGGGCGTCAATCAATGTTCTATTGATTTTAAATAATTTCCCTGCAAGAATCACAAAAAGTGGCAGTGGGACAAAAAAAATCAAATAGAAGATATTCCAAAGATCATCCCAATGTTGAAGGGGTTATTGTTAGATTTTTGGTCATTTGAGCTACTTTTGCACTCTGCAATATCTTCTATTTGACACGCCATTGGCCGCACGGCAAAGTGCCGCGGCGCCACGGGCGACTAACGGTGCCCAAGCGCGCCACCAGGTCCAACCAGTGTCATGTGTGCCGCGCCTGCCACGGAGCAAGTTCAACGCCTGCCACGCAAAGTGCCGCGGCGCCACGGGCGACTAACGGCGCCCAAGTGCGCCACCATGGAGCCAGCCCAGTGCTGCAAGTGCCACGCCTGCCACGCAAAACGAAGGTGGATGTGCGCAGGTGCCACCACTGCCACGCAAAACGAAAGTGGATGTCGCCAAGCGCCACGCCTGCCACGCAAAGTGCCCGCGGCGCCACGGGCGACTAACGGCGCCCAAGCGCGCCACCAGAGCCAACCCAGCGTCATGATTGCATGCAAAACAAAGGAAATTGCCACGCAAAACGAAGGTGGATGTCGCCAAGTGCTACGCCTGCCCCGCAAAACGAAAGTTGATGTGAGCAAGTGCCACGCCTGCCATGCAAAGTGCCGCGCCGCCACGGGCGACTAACGGCGCCCAAGCGCGCCACCAGAGCCAGCCCAGTGCTGCAAGTGCCACGCCTGCCACGCAAAACGAAGGTGGATGTCGCCAAGTGCCCTGCGTGCCACGCCTGCCACGTGAAACCGAGGTGACGAAGTTGTGTGTGAAAGATGGTGTCTGAAAAAGTTGTGTGTGACAAAGGAGGTGTGTGAAAGATGGTGTGTGACAAAGTTGTGTGTGAAAGATGGTGTGTGACAAAGTTGTGTGTGAAAGATGGTGTGTGACAGAGTTGTTGGAAAGATGGTGTGTGACGAAGTTGTGTGTGAAAGAGAGTGTGTGACGAAGTTGTGTGTGTGTGTGAAAGAGAGTGTGTGACAAAGTTGCGTGTGTAAGATGGTGTGTGACAAAGTTGTGTGTGAAGAGTGTATGACAAAGTGGTGTGTGAAAGAGAGTGTGTGAAGGCCGCGGGGCCGGGAGGGGGCCGGGAAGGGGCCGGGAGGGGGCCGGGAGGGGGCCGGGAGGGGGCCGGGAGGGGGCCGGGAGGAGCGGGATACAGAATCAAAAACAAGAACCCCACACAAAGATGTGGGGAAAAAAAAACTTTTGAAGGGTTCTCAAGATAAGTAGGCCCTTCAAGATTCTTAGGGCAAAAATCTCAGGAATGCCGGTGGCATTTTTCGACTTCTAAAAGCCCAGGACCCCGGAGCTCAAAATAGAACTTCGATTTTGATAATTTGGTTGTGATTTTGTAGAGGCCACGGTAGGCTACCATAAAAACTTTTCGTACTGCAAAGACTACCCCTGGTATTGAAGGCTAACTGACATTTTCTTCACCAAGTTAACCGCCTCACATTTCTTTCCACATATACAATTCAACATGTTTCGACTAAGCTACCCTGCAAGATCAAAGTCCTACCTATTCACAAGTGGGCCCCCTGCATCTGCTCTACAAAATCAGGCTCTAAGATCCCAAAGCAAAAAGCCCCCTAAAATCACAGAACAAATTAGGGCCTTCTCAAGATAAGTAGACCTTAAAGATTCTTAGGGCAAAAAAATCAGGCATGCGGGGGGCATCTTTAAGATTCCAAAGGCCCAGGACCCTGGAGCTCGTAAAATGGAAACTTGATTTTGTAGAGGCGAATCTGTGCTTACCCCTTGGGGCTTGATTGTGTAGAGGGTCGATTTCGTGGAGGCTACGATAGTCTACCGTATAAACTTTCCTACTGCAAAGGCTGCCCCTGGCATTGAAGACTGAAAAAGCCTTGGCGTGACAGTTTGCAAGATGTGCCAAAGCCATCCAGCTTGTGCAATGTTTGAGACAAGGGTTTTCAAGGGAACTGTCCTGTACAGAATCAAGGTTCTTCCCGTTCACCACTACAGAATCAAGATCTAAAGATTTGACACCCAGGAACATGCTTTGACTACAAAGTCAAAGATCTTAGGAATTAACTAGCTTTTTTCTACACAATCAATCCGCTTAACAAAATGTAAGGTTTTGAGCACTTTTTGTCGGACCCCGAGGCCCCTACTACAAAATCAGGAACTCACCTCCACAATACCTCCACCATACCCAAAAGTTGTTGAAATATTTGCCAACCAATGGATCGTGATTTTGTAGCAAAATAGGGGTGCAGGCTCACTCTCCAGAATCGATGCGTTTTGGGGGTTCCAACACCCCTTATTCTGAACTGCAACCAGGATATATAAAGAATATGATGCAATATGAATGTGCAGCGCAGCAGATTGTTCGGGAGCCCCAGGATCTGCCGGATCCCGCAGGATCCTTCAAACAAAAAACTTGCCAAAAGCAACTATATAAGATCATAAAAGCAATATTATCTATACGCAGTATGACAATGTATGACAGCACAGGTCATGGCATATGACAATGAGAAGGGCCAAGGATGAGGATTGGGAATCAACTTGGATCAAACGTATCACCTAGCAGCGGATGATCACTTGGCATACTTGGAAGATTTCGGAAGATCTTGGAAGATTTGGCAAGGCCTGGAATTGAGCGCCTGGCCCAGTCCCAAAGGCTAAGGGCTGCTGATGAGCCTCTGCATGCCATGCGAGACACAAACAGGCTTATCCACGACTTTTCCAGGGTTTTTATGACTTGCCAGCTTGAGCAACAAGCTTTGCACGAGAAACTCCGCACGAATACTGAACAAGATTGCTTTGGCCTTGCAAGGGTTCCTGCACTTGGGACTCGATAAGGGCAGAATCCTCGGCAACCCTTGAATCTGCTCAACTTGGAAGCGAGTGATATTGCTGTGCTAGATATTGCAAAAACTCCGAAATAACTTTGATCCATGTGGCACGCTGATTTGGCCTGAGGCTGTTGCTGCCATAGCGGTCAAGACGACCAAGGCCTTGCAAACTGCATGGCCATGGTGGCGCCAAAAACTTCTGCACAGCCACTCCAGGGGCTCTCCTGACCTCCCGCCTATAAATCTCTCAAGGACATGCATTTTGCAAACATTTCTTTGGATTTTGCTTCCCGCCAACTGGTCGGTGCTCAGACCTTTGCCAAGCTTTGCTGCATGCCTAGATTTTGTACTTTCTATGATTATAATTGACGTGCATTATATATCATTATATCATTAAATCTTCTAGTCTTTGAGTTTCGCGAACCTTTTGCTACGGTGTCTGTCAACTTGGCCTTGGGGAAACTTCACTCTGCTTTTGGAAAATGGTCTTGGTTTTGAAAATATGAAACAGTATGCGATTTAAACCAGCATTTTGCCCAGTACACGAGGGTTTTGACCACCACCCACTGTGACTGGACGGCCAAAAGAGGTACCCCCAGACAAAATGAATGCCGCCGCCACCTCCAACAAATAAAAGCCATGAACAAGCCACCTTCGCAGGCATTCAGCAAGGATGACAAAATCTGTAGGATCTTTGCAACTCGCATTCTGATGGTTCTGGCCCGCCTCCCAGCCCGTCCAAGCTGCGATGTTTCTTTGCTCAAACCTGTGCACTGAGCAAGCGGCAACTTTTGAACCCTGGCTCGCAGCATCTAGTGTTTTTTTGAAAGTCTTTTATATAAGACCCCACCGTCTAAATCCGTCCATGCACATAACGGAAGGGGCACAGAGCAAGAGTGCCACCAGTGCTTGAAAGCGATTGTGCGGCGTGGATGTCAGCAAGCACTGCGCCTTAGACACTCTTAGCAGCGTTTAGCAATGAAAAGACCACGTGAGACTGCTAGAATGCAAAGAAACAAGGTTTGGATCGGAAGGGATCTAATCTAAGTTCGATACAAGCTTCCCTGCATATGCCTACGAACAAAATCTGGGAAGATTCAGCCGCCAGCGCAAAGGAAAAAAATTGGAGGACAGTCAGGCCTTGTTGTACAGCAAAGGTTGGACATTTGGAAAGGGAGGCACAACCTTGGTTGGACGTTGTAGGGTTCACTCCTGGGTGACTTCTGGTTGGATGATGTTGCTGTGCGAGAACATGTCAGGGGCTGTATGTGAGTTTCAAGACTGCTTGTTTCTCAAATCAAAATTGAATCAAGGCCCGTGCATCCACAGCCTCCTCGATAATTCCTTGCAGGACAAGAGCCTCCGGTGTGCCGAGCAACGTGGAGCAATAGGAACGATTGCACAAGCTAAACTCATCCTTTGTATCCATCTGATTCCTTTTGTACGCTTTTGCCAAAATGCGACTGGACTTGCGGTCTGCACTCACAGCACCCAACGTGTGCAGCTGAAGTAACAGTCCCATCCAGTGGCCTTAGCAGCTGAGTCGCCACCAGCTTGCATGATGATAGGAGGAGTTCGTGTGGGTGACCCCGAAAGGAAAATGTCTTGAGACAACTGCAGTATCAGCGCGCCCTAGGCTGGAGTTGTGTCTCAAAATTACCAACCTTGACTTGACCCTTTTGCATCTTTTTTTTGGCTCGAATAGTTTGAATATCTGCCGACCCCGGCCTTCGCCAAGGCAGGGGCGGCGCCTGGGACCACCGGAGGTGTGGAACCTGCTTTGTCACGGCCATGGCCTTCACATTGTCCAAGGTCGTTCCAGCAACAATTGCTTGTCTGTGACTGTCTGTGTTTAAGCGGTTTGCCAAGCTTCAAAGGCCTCATCCAGCAACAATTGCTTGTCTGTGTTTAAGCGGCTTGCCAAGCTTCAAAGGCCTCATCCAAGGTCGTTCCAGCAACAATGGCTTGTCTTTGTTTAAGCGGTCTGCCACGCCCCATCAGATTCTGTTTTTAAGGGCGTTCAAGCGTGCCGTTTGCCCGGCTTCAAACCCTTCAAACGCTTCAAACCCTCCCGCAGGCCTTTCCAAGGCAACTCTCGCAGCTACACGCCCCAGCCATCTGTTTTTAAGGGCGTTCAAGCCTGCCGTTTGCCCGGCCTCAAACCCCTCAAACGCTTCAAACCCTCCTGCAGGCCCTTCAAACGCTTCAAACCCTCCCGCGGGCCTTTCCAAGGCAACTCTCGCAGCTACACGCCCCAGCCATCTGTTTTTAAGGGCGTTCAAGCGTGCCGTTTGCCCGGCCTCAAACCCTTCAAACGCTTCAAACCCTCCCGCGGGCCTTTCCAAGGCAACTCTCGCAGCTACACGCCCCAGCCATCTGTTTTTGAGGGCGTTCAAGCGTGCCATTTGCCCGTCCTCCTCAAACCCTTCAAACGCTTCAAACCCTCCCGCAGGCCTTTCCAAGGCAACTCTCGCAGCTACACGCCCCAGCCATCTGTTTTTAAGGGCGTTCAAGCTTGCCGTTTGCCCGGCCTCAAACCCTTCAAACGCTTCAAACCCTCACGCAGATCTTTCCAAGGCAACTCTCGCAGCTACACGCCCCAGCCATCTGTTTTTAAGGGCGTTCAAGCCTGCCGTTTGCCCGGCCTCAAACCCTTCAAACGCTTCAAACCCTCCCGCAGATCTTTCCAAGGCAACTCTCGCAGCTACACGCCCCAGCCATCTGTTTTTAAGGGCGTTCAAGCCTGCCGTTTGCCCTGCCTCAAACCCTTCAAACGCTTCAAACCCTCCCGCAGGCCTTTCCAAGGCAACTCTCGCAGCTCACGCCCCAGCCATCTGTTTTTAAGGGCGTTCAAGCCTGCCGTTTGCCCGGCCTCAAACCCTTTAATTAAACGCTTCAAACCCTCCCGCAAGCCTTTCCAAGGCAACTCTCGCAGCTACACGCCCCAGCCATCTGTTTTTAAGGGCGTTCAAGCCTGCCGTTTGCCCGGCCTCAAACCCTTCAGACGCTTCAAACCCTCCCGCAGGCCTTTCCAAGGCAACTCTCGCAGCTACACGCCCCAGCCATCTGTTTTTAAGGGCGTTCAAGCGTGCCGTTTGCCCGGCCTCAAACCCTTCAAACGCTTCAAACCCTCCCGCAGGCCTTTCCAAGGCAACTCTCGCAGCTACACGCCCAAGCCATCTGTCTTTAAGGGCGTTCAAGCGCCGTTTGCCCGCCCTCAGCCATCTCGCAGCTTCTTTAAGGGCGTTCAAGCCTGCCGTTTGCCCGGCCTCCAACCCTTTAATTAAACGCTTCAAACCCTCCCGCAAGCCTTTCCAAGGCAACTCTCGCAGCTACACGCCCCAGCCATCTGTTTTTAAGGGCGTTCAAGCCTGCCGTTTGCCCGGCCTCAAACCCTTCAAACGCCTCAAACCCTCCCGCAATCCTTTCCAACGCAACTCTCGCAGCTACACGCCCCAGCCATCTGTTTTTGAGGGCGTTCAAGCCTGCCGTCTGTTTTTGAGGGCGTTCAAGCCTGCCGTTTGCCCGGCCTCAAACCCTTCAAACGCTTCAAACCCTCCCGCAGGCCTTTTCAAGGCAACTCTCGCAGCTACACGCCCCAGCCATCTGTTTTTAAGGGCGTTCAAGCCTGCCGTTTGCCCTGCCTCAAAACCCTTCAAACGCTTCAAACCCTCCCGCGGGCCTTTCCAAGGCAACTCTCGCAGCTACACGCCCCAGCCATCTGTTTTTAAGGGCGTTCAAGCGTGCCGTTTGCCCGGCCTCAAACCCTTCAAACGCTTCAAACCCTCCCGCAGGCCTTTCCAAGGCGGCTCTCGCAGCTACACGCCCCAGCCATCTGTTTTTAAGGGCGTTCAAGCCTGCCGTTTGCCCGGCCTCAAACCCTTTAATTATAGAGGATGCTGCAGTATTTTAGACCGGCTCCGGGGTTTTTAGCCCCAAGTCAGGGGGGCTGAAATCCTTCAACAAGAATGGTGTCTGAGGTACAAACGCAACTAATGAAAACCTTTGCTTGACGTTCCTGGTATCCCAGAGTAGCGCTCATGAAACTCAGACCCCAGGTTTTCATCCTGCGAAAGAACTTCAACACTTCATTTTCATGAAACTCAGGCCCCTGGTTTTCATCCTGTGCAAGCACTTCATTATTTCATTTTCATGAAACTCAGGCCCCAGGTTTTCATCCTGTGCAAGAATGTCACCATTTAGCTTTCATGAATCTCAGGCCCCCAGTTTTCATCCTGTGCAAGAATGTCACCATTTAATTTTCATGAACCTCAGTCTCGTGTTTTCAGCCCGTGCATGCACTTCACTGGTTACTTTTCATGAGTCTCAGGCCCAGGTTTTCAGCCACTGTGAGCAATTTCTACCTTCATTTTCTCCTATCCCTTAACACCTAGGACTTCATCTCTTTCCACCGCTTCATTTACCAGAACAGCTCTCCAAGTTACACTGGGCATTTCCGCAAACCTGTCCTGAACACATTCCCAAACACACCACAAAACCTGAGACCCCGAGATTTCATCTCACACATCCCTGTTTTGAACTCTGCCAGAACAGCTCTCCAAGTTAAAGCGCGCATTGCCGCAAATCTGTCCTAAACCAATGTCCCAAGAAAAAGACCACAAACCCCCAGACCCTTAAATTTCATCTCGCACATCCCTGTTTTGAACTCTGCCGGAACAGCTCTCCAAGTTACAGCGCGCATTGCCGCAAATCTGTCCTAAATGTCCCAAGAAAAAACCCACAAAACCTCAGACCCCAAGATTTCATCTCACACATCCCTGTTTTGAACTCTGCCGGAACAGCTCTCCAAGTTACAGCGCGCATTGCCGCAAATCTGTCCTAAACCAAAATGTCCCAAGAAAAACACCACAAAACCCCAGACCCTTAAATTTCATCTCGCACATCCCTGTTTTGAACTCTGCCGGAACAGCTCTCCAGGTTACAGCGCGCATTGCCGCAAATCTGTCTCGAACCAATGTCCCAAGAAAAACACCACAAAGCCTCAGACCCCAAGATTTCATCTCACACATCCCTGTTTTGAACTCTGCCGGAACAGCTCTCCAAGTTACAGCGCGCATTGCCGCAAATCTGTCCTAAACCAATGTCCCAAGAAAAACACCACAAAACCTCAGACCCTTAAATTTCATCTCGCACATCCCTGTTTTGAACTCTGCCGGAACAGCTCTCCAAGTTACAGCGCGCATTGCCGCAATTTTAAATCTGTCCTAAACCAATGTCCAAAGAAAAACCCCATAAAACCTCAGACCCGGAGATTTCATCTCGCACATCCCTGTTCTGAACTCTGCCGGAACAGATCTCCAAGTTACAGCGCGCATTTCCGCAAATCTGTCCTAAACCAATGTCCCAAGAAAAAACCCACAAAACCTCAGACCCCAAGATTTCATCTCACACATCCCTGTTCTGAACTCTGCCGGAACAGCTCTTCAAGTTACAGCGCGCATTTCCGCAAACCTGCCCTGGACGAATGTCCCAAGAAAAAACCCACAAAACCTCAGACCCCAAGATTTCATCTCACACATCCCTGTTTTGAACTCTGCCGGAACAGCTCTCCAAGTTACAGCGCGCATTTCCGCAAATCTGTCCTAAACCAATGTCCCAAGAAAAAACCCACAAAATCTCAGACCCCAAGATTTCATCTCACACATCCCTGTTTTGAACTCTGCCGGAACAGCTCTCCAGGTTACAGCCCGCATTTCCGCAAATCTGTCTCGAACCAATGTCCCAAGAAAAACACCACAAAGCCTCAGATCAGACCTCAAGATTTCATCTCACACATCCCTGTTTTGAACTCTGCCGGAACAGCTCTCCAGGTTACAGCGCGCATTTCCGCAAACCTGCCCTGGACGAATGTCCCAAGAAAAAAAACGCAAAACCTCAGACCCCAAGATTTCATCTCACACATCCCTGTTCTGAACTCTGCCCGAACAGCTCTCCAAGTTACACCGCGGATTATCAGCCTTGAATATCATGCCTGCAGGAATCATACACAACCACTCATTTCTGCAAAGCCATCCACTATGGCCCAAAAAAACAAAGGGATAAACATAGGGATCCATGTGTTCTGGCCATGTCTTTTGATGTCTTTCCATGTACTCAAATATATATATATATATACAAATAGATGCAAGTATATTCCAATATATTCAAATATACTATCTACAAATCCCGATACACATCTAGCAAATGCGAGAGAGAGGTGCTGGAGGCAACATCGGAACAAAGTTAAAACAGCAAGACCCGGAGAATAAAAACCTTTATTGAGGTTCAGGGCTTTATGCCGTGAGCACTGCAAGTTCCCGCAACCAAAATTATATGTGTAGATGAAAACCTGTGAGCTGAAGTTCCCCCTGGATAGCTGCTGAGTTCTTTGGAAAAAATGTTTCTGGATAAAAACCAGTGACCCCAGCCTTTCACTGACTCTCATGTTGAAAATCCAACTTTGGATGAAACCCCTGAGCTTGACGTTTGGCAAAGCTCTTCCAAAATAAAAACACAAAAACTCTCATTGGATGAATACCGGTGCTTGAGCTTTTTTCATCAAATCCTTAAAACCCGTGTGTGACGTTTTTGGAGTACAGCCCACAGCCATCTGTGGGCTAAACCCAGGCGCTCCAGCCCTAGGTTTTTAGCCTTGTGCAGCATCCTCTATTTTAATTAAACGCTTCAAACCCTCCCGCAAGCCTTTCCAAGGCAACTCTCGCAGCTACACGCCCCAGCCATCTGTTTTTAAGGGCGTTCAAGCCTGCCGTTTGCCCGGCCTCAAACCCTTCAAACGCTTCAAACCCTCCCGCAGGCCTTTCCAAGGCAACTCTCGCAGCTACACGCCCCAGCCATCTGTTTTTTAAGGGCGTTCAAGCCTGCCGTTTGCCCTGCCTCAAACCATTCAAACGCTTCAAACCCTCCTGCAGGCCTTTCCAAGGCAACTCTCGCAGCTACACGCCCCAGCCATCTGTTTTTAAGGGCGTTCAATTCAAGCGTGCCGTTTGCCCGGCCTCAAACCCTTCAAACGCTTCAAACCCTCCCGCAGGCCTTTCCAAGGCAACTCTCGCAGCTACACGCCCCAGCCATCTGTTTTTAAGGGTGTTCAAGCCTGCCGTTTGCCCGGCCTCAAACCCTTTAAACGCTTCAAACCCTCCCGCAAGCCTTTCCAAGGCAACTCTCGCAGCTACACGCCCCAGCCATCTGTTTTTAAGGGCGTTCAAGCTTGCCGTTTGCCCGGCCTCAAACCCTTCAAACGCTTCAAACCCTCACGCAGGCCTTTCCAAGGCAACTCTCGCAGCTACACGCCCCAGCCATCTGTTTTTAAGGGCGCTCAAGCGTGCCGAAAATTGGGTTCTCAACCTGTGCCGAAAGTTGCAGCAGCCGACCGCCCAGCACCCGATGGCAGGCCAAATGTCCCAGGCGCCAAGCAGTTCATGATACTTTAGGATCATAATGTATACCTTTATTGTAATAGTCTAAAAATCATCTGTCGATGGGTGCTTATCTAGATGTTGATCTGTCTACCTGCATCTATAACATATTATTACTCAGAAACAAAATTTACCAGATGGTATTTTCTTTTGCTTCCTCCTTCGCTACACCTGAGCCATCTCCGGGTTAGACTGGCTGCGGTTACCGCCCCCCCCCTAAAGAAAAGGGGGTCGGCGGCACCCGGGCGCTAGCCCATTCTATAATAACTTACTTTGAGCTCTGAAACTGCTTCGTTTTCCGACGCCCTTAACTTTGGCACCGCCTCGTGCGCCAGCCGCCAGAGGCATGTTTTAAACATGTGTGCTGGGGCGCGTGAGCGGCGCATGATCAACACCAACACCAACACCGACACCACCAGCACCACCAGCACCAGCACGGACACCACCAGCACCACCAGCAGCACCACAACCACCGACACGAACAACACAAACAACACCAACAGCACCAACAACACCAACAACGCGAACAACAACACGAACAACAACAGAAAGTAGAACCATTGTGTTTTTCGGGTGCGCCGAATCTGGCGCGGAGAAAAGTAGGCTCGCCTGCGCGATGGTTCCGGGCATTGCCGCGGTAGCACGGAAACGGTCTCGAACTGCGTGCGGGTTGGAGCTGAGGTCTCCAGGTGTTTTTTTTGTGTTGATGCTGCGCTTTGCTCGTTTGCTGACCTACATTGGGCATTGCAAATGGTGCATCAAGGTTACTTTTCGTCAGGTATGTCCTGCGATTCTATGGTCTTTTGCAACGCATGGTCGGTAGATCGCATTGGAATTGCTGCATCCAAGATGAGATTGAACGCTAAGATTTGCAGGTAGCTTGGTGTTTTGCAATTCAGTCTTTGCAATCGCAGTGGATTGGCTGCATCAATGGTTCCTTGGTGCTGCCATGGTCTTTTGCAACTGGGCATCGTAAATCGCATGGGACTGGCTGCTGCATCAGGGCTGCGACGGTGATTTTGCAACAGAATTTGCTCAATTTTGGCGCAGCTCATTTTCCTTTCTACATTCCTTTTTCAAAAGTGCTTCAAGACATTTTTTATTGGCTGTTCTGGCGCCGAGATCCGCTTTTCGAGCTGCAATTTCAGTTGTCGTTGCGCGTAAGTCTACGGCGCTTTGCAATTCAGCCTTTGCAGATCGCAGGGGTGGCTGCATCGAGGTTCCTTGGTGGTGCGGCTGCGTGCGTAGTTCCATCGTCTTTTGCAACTGGGCAATCGTAAAACGTGATGGAGTGGCTGCATCACGGTTGCAACGGTGATTTTGCAACAGGTTTTGCTCAATCTTTGCGCACCTCATTTTCCTTTTTAGATTCTTTCTAAAAGGTGCTTCAAACACGTTTCTTTCTTAACCTTGGCGCCGAGATCATCCGGTTTTAGAGTGCAATGTCTGTGCAGAAGCTTCTCTGCAAAGTTTTTCTGCGTAAAAGCTTCTGTGTGTACAAGCTTCTCTGTGTAAAAGCTTCTCTGTACAAAAGTTTCTCTGTGTAAAAGCTCCTCTGTGTAAAAGCTCCTCTGTGCAAAGCTTCTCCGTGTCAAGACTTTTCTGTGTAGAAGCTTCTCTGGGGGAAAGCTTCTCTGTGCACAAGCTTCTCTGTGTAAAAACTTCCCTGTGTAAAAGCTTGCTGTGCGTATAAGCTTGCTGTGTGTGTGTGTAAAAGCTTGCTGCGTATAAAAGCTTCTCTGTGTAAAAGCTTCTGTGCGTAAAAGCTTCCCTGTGCAAAAACTTCTCCCTTTAAACATTTCACTGTGTAAAAAAATTGCTGTGCACAACAGCTTCTGTATGTATAACAAGGAGAAAGAGAAGACTTCGATAATTTGTCGGTTGTGGGTTCGAGGAGGGTGGGGGCCAGGTGAGAAGAGGTGGGATGATTTGAGCAGACTTCAATAAATTTGAAAAAACGTTGAAAGAGGTCAAAAGCAGAGGTGGAAAAAGGTGAGAAGAATGGGGAAAAGCTGAGAAGACATGTCCGCAGTAACAAGATGTAAAAAGGAGCGAGAAGAGGTGAGAAAATGTGAGGACGGAAATCAGAAAAAGTAAGTTGACGTGGAGTTGGGAAGAGTTGAGAAGAATTAAGGAGCTGAGGAGAGTTGAAAAGAGGTGGGAAGAGGTGAGATGACTTGAGAAGAGGCGGAGGAAATCAGAAAAGTTGAGCAAAGGTCAGAAAAGGCGGGAAGAGTTGAAAAGAGGTGGGAAGAGGTGAGAAGAATTGAGACGAGTTGGGAAATGTTGAAAAAGAGGTGGGAAGGGGTGAGAAGACTTGAGACGACTTGAGACAAGTTGAGAAGAGTTGTTGAGAGGAGGTGGGAAGAGGTGGGACGAGAATTGGCTGAGGAGAGTTGAGAAGAGGCGAAAAGAGCTGAGCTGAGGTGGGAAGAGATGAAGCACCTTGAGAGCAGCTGACTGAGAAGAGTTGTGAGAAGAAATGAGAAGAGCTGAGGTGAGGTAAGGTGAGGACGAGTGCGAAAAGGAGTTGAGAAGATGCGAAGCTTCACTGCAACTCCTATAGACAAAACTTGTCCCTCACTCCTATAGTGCAACATTCCTTGCTGCTGGAAACCTCCGTCACCCGCCTCGTGCGGATTCTACTGTACTTGTAAGGACAGGTAACCCTTATGGCATCGCCGGTGTGCAAATGTCTAGAATGTCGAATTCAATGCCTTCAGTCTGCCAAAAGACAGAGGTCGGACGCACTTGGCCCAACCAACCCGTCTGACACTTCCAACAAACATGTTTCAAGGCGACAAAGATTTAACTTAATACAGCACCGACTGAAATAATTTGCTAGGATCGCGCAACAAGACTGCCGGGCCTTTTGGTAGGATTTGAGCTGGACGTTGCTGGAGCACGAGCAGCCTAAGAGTTCACGCATCTTTCAGATTTATGCGCGTATGAATTTGGAGTTTTGTTTCCTTTCCAACGTTGTCCCACCATGTACCAATCCACAAAGACACAGCACGCAAAATCAAAACCATCCACCGTCTTGCCTGCGACGTGATGGTTGAAACAGCTTCAGCTGCAGGTTTTGTCCGCGCGCGTACCTTCTGAGCAGGCGGACCAGCAGAATGATTTACAACTTTCAGCGTCCATGCGAAGCAAGAGCAGGAGATCTACGAGGATGGGTTGACTAATCCCGCATGGTGGATATGGTCGGCATAGCACAAGTCATGCCCCAAAAAGACGCGCGGCACCAGTTTTAACCCTTTGGCTGCCTCTGCTAAAGCAATGTTGTCAGCGCAAAGCTTGCTAAGGCTCATGAATGGATACGACCTAAGGAATCTGAGTGAAATCAACGAAATCAACGAACTCTTGATTGAAGTGCCGCTGACAAAACCCAGCACAATGACACTTGGGAACTGGGGAACTCAAAATTTGTCTTAGCTTGTCCTGTTTTTGCGTTGGCATAGGTTGACTCTTTCTGACTGTCAACTTGAGAGCTCAACGTCGCCCCAATGACCTTGCCGCTCCACTAGCCGTCTTGCATTCTGGACGCTTCCTTCTCTCTCCGTCTTTGTCTCTCCGTCTCTCCACCTCTCTCTCCCACTGAAAAGATCTGACAACGTAGTTTTGGCATGTTTTGGCACTGTGTGGCCTGGCACGATCAATCCCATGCGCCTGTGCAAGATCTGGTTGCTTGTGTTTGTCGCCCAATTTTGAGAGCTGGCCTGAGGAGCGGAGCATGCAGAATATATCACCGAGATTCAGCTAGGAGCAACCATCGTTCATCATTATTAAATCTTTCAATCATCATCCCTTTACATTTTCAATTTCTTCAGTTTGCTACTCTCAATACCGGCCTTCCAAACAGGTCAGAAAATCATCAGTGGCCTGCAAGGACAGAGCCCAAGTTCTAGAATGACAGTGCATCCTGGGCATTGTGACTTTGGTGCGCGAAAGACCGGCTCAGCCCTGGCACAAGACCTCCGTATGGTGGCGTGGCGTTGGACTGTCTGACGGCGCCATCTGGCTGACACCTCAAAGCGCGGCAACGACTACGCAAAATGAACTGAATTAAACCTGAACATACAATCTTTATCAATTTTTCTACACCTTCACATGAATGCATTATATAATTTCAACTCTTCCGTGGAACATGTGAAAGCCAGGCCTCGACATCTTGAGTGCTGAGGAGTGCTGACCTCAGTGTTTAACCCCGCATGCTGTTGTGCGATTTGACGCCCCTGCCGAGTGTCCAGGTTTTGCGAAGCATCTGTGGCATTTGGGCTGCGGCTGGCAGCAGGGCGTTCGCTACAGTTCCACAGTATGGACCTTTGCTGGTCTTTGCTGACAGAAATGGTTACAAAATATCTAAATTGGAAAGTGAAGGTGCAACTCGTGCGACGAAACCTTTTGGTTCCAAGATGCAGTTCTGTCACATGGCAACTGAACTCAGAGCTGGACAGGAAAGTCGACCCCCTTGGCACAAACAATTGGCTGCCCAGAATGAGTATTATAGTTGTGATAGTAGGCGATGAAAGGGAAAATGCCTAGCGCACAATTTTGTCTGTTAATTCTCGTCAGGATTGACCCATCAGATCCCCCTTTGAATTAAGTAAAAAGGGAGAGCGTCACCATTCTTTAGTGGTCCGGGCAGGGCTAGAAGTGGGACATCTATAGAATGGAACCCCGCGCGCTATAGAATGGAGGGCCTGGACGACCAGATCGTAACAAATCTCTAAAAGATGGAACCCCATCTCTATAGAATAGAACCTCCGAGGGTCCTACAAACAAAGACATGTCTATAAAATGGAGGAACCGGTGATTGGCTTGAAAAGTGCTTAATTTCATTTTTTTCCTCATTTTTCCCCTTAGAAATTGTGCAGAGAGAAGTTGTAAAATTATGTGAAAATTTTGTTTATGTTGTGGGCTCTGGGAATACCATTCTTTAGAGATATTCTTAATATTCTGGTCGACCTTGAAAACGTTCAAAGTTCCATTTTTTAGAGTTTTTGAGTTCTAAAAAATGGAACTTCGTTTTTTTTGGAAACATACAACTGGTGTCTAAAGAATGGGAAATCGAAATTTAGAGGTGATCCCGGTTGATAACCTTGAACTCTATAGAATGGAACCTCCAGCTTCCACCATGTGAGGTCAAATAGCGACCGATACTCCTCTAAAGAATGCAAGTTGTCAAACATTGAAAACCCTAAAACCCAGATCTCTAAATCATCGTGGGGTCCTGGAGGAGTCCTGGATCACCATTTCCTAGAGAAAATTCCAAGGGGGATCCCATCAGACTTTTTTTGAACACAAGTGCAACATTCATGGCGTATCGTTGATGCGGATAAGGCTGAAGCCAAAGGCCGAGGCAAGGCTGATGATGCTGATGCTGATGATGGTGGCTTTTCTTACCAGAGTACCGCAGAAGGCGGTGGCAGAAGTTTCAAAGATAGACATCTATAGTCTATAGGGGAGGTGAGTTGTTGTGGATGACAGAGCGAATCCATTGATGGACCGAAAGGTGGTTGGAGTTGTGTTTTTTGGAATAGTTGCAGTGGTCACCTCACCCACGACTGCTGAATGTAGTGTGGTGTGGTAGTTGCAGTTGTGGCTGTAGTTGCAGTGGTAGTTGTAGTGTCATAGTTCTGGTAGTGGTAGCAGTGGCTGCAGTTGTGGCGGTGGTGTAGTGTAATTGTAGTTGTACTGGTAGGGTAGCTGAAGTTGTAGTTGTAGTTGTAGTTGTAGTGTAGTGTAGCCGTAGTTGTAGTCCTAGTTGTAGCTGTAGTTGTAGTGCAGTTGTAGTTGAAGTTGAAGTTGCAGTTGCAGTGTTAGTTGTAGCGTGAGCTGTATTGTAGTTGTAGTTGTAGCTGTAGTGTAGTGTAGTCCTAGTTGTAGTCGTAGTTGTAGCTGTAGTTGTAGTGTTAGTTGAAGTGTAGTTGTAGTTGCAGGCAGCTGTAGTTGTAATTGTCGTGTAGTGCAGTGTAGTTGTAGTTATAGTTATAGTTATAGTTGCTGTTGCTGTTTGGTTGGTTGGTTGGTTGGTTGGTTGGTTGGTTGGTTGGTTGGTTGGTGGTGTTGTTGTTGTGTTGTTGTTGCAGCTGTAGTTCTCGCGTAGTTTAGTGTAGTGGTAGTGGTAGTTGTAGTTGTAGTGTAGTTCAAGTTGAAGTTGAAGTTGAAGTTGTAGTGTTAGTTGTAGCTGTAGTGTTGTGGTAGCTGTAGTTGCAGTTGTAGTTGTCTATCTATCTGTCTATCATTCTGTCTGTCTGTTTATGTCTGTATCTGCCCATCTACCTATCCATCTCTCTGACTACGTATTTATCTATCTGTCTATCTGTCTATCTGCAAGCTTGAAACGTGACAAAATAAAAACGAAGCAATTCTGCGAGACTTCCTCCATTTCTGAAGATGGCAACAACAAAACTAGACGACGGATGGCCCGAGAGCGTCGAGGAGCAGGGTCTTCTGTTGTTAGTATTGAGACACTATATTACAAGACAAAAAATTAAGGATCTATTATAGGGAGACGAGAAGAGTAGTACCAAGACAATATTTTACAAGTACATGACAGTAGTTTGCATCGTATCCCGCGTAAAGTTTTTCACAAACAGAACCTTTTACACACAGACGCTTTTGCACACAGAAGCTTTTACACACACACACACAAGCTTTTACACACAGAGACTTCTACACTGCACACAGACGCTTTTACACACAGACGCTTTTACACACAGAGACTTCTACACACAGACACTTTTACACACAGACGCTTTCACACACAGACGCTTTTACACACAGACGCTTTCCGCTTTTACACAAAGACACGATTGCACACAGACGCTTTTACACACAGACACTTTCACACACACAGAGACTTTTGAACACAGAAGCTTTTACACACAGACGCTTTTACACGCAGACGCTTTTACACACAGACGCTTTTACACACAGACACTTTTACACACAGACGCTTTTACACACAGACACTTTCACACACAGAGACTTTTGAACACAGAAGCTTTTATACACAGACACTTTTACACACGGACGCTTAACACAGAAGCTTTTACACACAGACACTTTTACACACGGACGCTTTTACACACACACACACTTTTACACACAAAGACTTTTACACACAGACGCTTTTACACACAGACGCTTTTACACACAGACGCTTTACACACAGACGCTTTTACACACAAACACTTTCACACACACAGACACTTTTACACACAGATGCTTTTACACACAGACACTTTTGCACACAAACGCTTCTACTCAGAAGCCTCTACACACAGAAGCTTTTACACGCAGACCCTTTTACACAGAGACGCTTTTACAGATAGAAGCTTTTACACACAGACACTTTTACACACAGACGCTTTTACACACAGACGCTTTTACACACTAACACTTTTACACAAAGGCTTTGACACACAGACGCTTTTACACACAGACACTTTTACACACAGACGCTTTTACACACAAACACTTTTACACACAGACGCTTTTACACACAGACGCTTTTACACACAGACACTTTTACACACAGACCCTTTTACACACAGAAGCTTTCAAAATCGCAATTTTACCTCAGTTTTTAGGGAACGAACCTCATTTTAAAGGGTTGTCGCGGACACTTCAGAATCGCAATTTTACTTCAGCTTTTGGCGATCGAACCTTATTTCGTGCGAAAGGGTTGCCGCGGAGGTTGTAAAATCATAATTTTACCTCAGTTTTTGGCGATCGAACCTCATTTTGTGCGAAAGTGTTGCCGCCGAGGTTGTGTTTTTGGCGATCGAACCTCATTTCGCGCGAAAGGGTTGCCGCGGAGGTTGTAAAATCGCAATTTTACCCCAGTTTTTAGCGATCGAACCTCATTTCGTGCGAAATGGTTGTCGCGGACACTTCAGAATCTTAATTTTGCCTCAGTTTTTGGCGATCGAACCTCGTTTCGTGCGAAAAGGTTGCGTTTCGCGCCGTCTCGTTGGCACTGCCCGCGCCTTCAAGAGAGAGATAGAAAAGAAGGAGAGAGCAAGAGGGCAAGAGAGCAAGAGGGCAAGAGAGCAAGAGCGCAAGAGAGCAAGAGGGGAAGAGTAAGATGGCAAGAGAGCAAGAGGGCAAGAGAGAATGTGAAGATGTGAAGATGTGAAGATGTGAGGATGTGAAGATGTGAGGATGTGAAGATGTGAAGATGGGAAGATTGAGAAGATGTGAAGATGAGAAGATGAGAAGATGTGAAGATGAGATGTGAAGATGAGAAGATGTGAAGATGTGAGGATGTGAAAACGAGAAGATGTGAAGATGTGAGGATGTGAAAACGAGAAGATGTGCCGATTTGAAGATGTGAAGATGTGAGGATGTAAAGATGAGAAGATGCGAAGATGAGAAGATGTGAAGACGAGAAGATGAGAAAATGTGAAGGTGAGCAGATGTGAAGATGAGAAGATGTGCCGATTTGAAGATGTGAAGATGTGAGGATGTGAGGATGAGAAGATGCGAAGATGAGAAGATGTGAAGATGAGAAGAGGTGAAGATGAGATGTGAAGATGAGAAGATGTGAAGATGAGCAGATGTGAAGATGAGAAGATGTGAAGACGTGAGGATGTGAGGATGAGAAGATGTGAAGATGAGAAGATGTGAAGATGTGATGAGAAGATGTGAGAATTGAAGATGTGATGTGAAGATGTGAAGATGTGAAGATGTGAAAATGTTTGACAGACCCCCACTATTAGAAGAACGCTTTGCTCAGACGCTCTCGGGAAAAAACGAAGCGATTCTGCGAGACTTACTTCAAAAATAGAAAGTTGAGTGCGGACCTGACAGCCTCGTGCCAATGCATCTTATTATTATTTTTCCATCCCATGTCTCTAAAGTACTGCGCGTGGCACGAAAAAGTGAGGCCAGGTCATAGAAATTTGCATCTGTCACGCAAAATCATCGAAGCGAGGATGACGATCTGATGCTCCGACCTACGCGAAATGCATCTGTGCAGATCCTCTTCAAACGTCCCACCTCCGCAAAACCCCCATGTTTTGCTCACTTTTTGCAGCGTGCAGAACCCCTTGGGCCTGCCAGCAAAAACGACGCTTGAACATCGGAAAGTGGCGCTGACATGTGGTGTTTTAGCATTTTCACTTCGAAATGTGCGTTGTGCCACAAATGCGTGCGCTTTTTCGACATCTGAACTTCCAAAAGTGCTCCGAACCTGAAACGCTTTGCCCATTTTGACTTGGAAATGCGCTTCGCACCACAGCGCTGCTGCACTTTTTCCACATCTCAGCATCAAAAAGTGCTCCGGT